CAATAAGCCTCAAGGCGCTACGGGTCAAACAATTTTCGGGACGGCTCATACGTCAGCGGAGGCTCTCGACGAGTCGCAGCCGCCAGAAAACAACCTCGGGATACCGTCGAGGTTGCGCGGTGCTCACTTGGCTCATGAGGTGAGCCAGCAAGACTCCAAGAGCCTCAGACCCTAAAGCTCTATACCTTGCACATCTAGTCCAACTCATCCTGCCACAGTACTTCCCCCCAGAGCGCGCACGAACGCTCAAAAATCCCCGCCAACCCAAAGAATCTTGACTCTCGATTGTCAGCGCTGTGGGCGGCGAAAGCGGCACCTGCAGGTCGCGGGCTCCATCCCTGGGACGCCTTCTGGGTCGTCGAAACTGCTTGCCTCCCCACCGAAGGGACGGTGACCCCACCGTACCGAGCGACGGCCAAGGACGAGGGCTTGAAGCGATGGCTCAAGGACGCCCGGCCTCGTGGTGCCACTCCCCTGGGATGCACGGTGTCCGCTGGCGTCCATCGTGGGCTGCTCCCAGAGTGAAAGCCAGCATTGATGAGCCTATTTTGCACCACCACTACCATGGGTAGGACGGGGTCCTCCTCCTCCTCCTCCTCCTCCTCCTCCTCCTCCCTTTCATGATCCCCCTCCTCATTCTCTCCCTCCTCCCTCTCCTACCTTTGGTAGTGGTGGTAGAAAATCAGCCCATCAAGCATAGCAGCAAGAAAAAAAGAGGGCATGCGCTGGGGGGGGGGCTTCCCAACAGTGCCGCTAGCTCAATCCAAAGGCCGTGCCTGGCCAGGGAGGAGGGACGGGGGATGCAGGGCAGGGAGGCAGCCGCGTGGGTGGAGAACCTGCTGGGGTGAGCTGGCCCGAGGGCGCCTCGAAGCGCATCACGACTGAAGCCGAAGCCAAGGCTGAAAAGCACAGAACAGAGAAAGGGCCCAGACTGCAGGCTCAGTGGGCCACACGTCGCTGAGCGGTGCTGCAGCCTCCCCCAGGGAGGAGCGGGATCCCCCCCCCCGGGCCTGACTCGGACATGGGGAGACCCAGAGGTACCGATACCGCTACTCCGCGGACCTCTTTTGGGGTCATGTCGGGGCGTGTTCTGACCAGAACTTCGAGGCGAATCCAGCGTTGGCGCCGAGGGCCTCCCAGGAGGCCCCGAAAGGTGGAACGAAGGAACATTAGCGGTGTGGGCACCGCATCCTCTTCCAAACTTTGACGTTGTCGAATTCTGGCGCCTCTTCGCCGTGGCCGCCGCCGCCCTCGTATGGACAAGCGCGTTCCACGACTCGCAAAGGAACTGCTACTCGCAAATGGGCTCGATACGCCGCGGAGGGTTTACAGTATATGCATGTTTCTATATATATATATATAAGTAAGAAAATGGTTCTTCCACCGAGGCAAATACATATTGTTCGACTAGATGCGCGCTCGGTGATAGCAGCTGTCATCGCCTTCGCCATCGCCGTCTACGCGCACAGGCTTCGGTGGCAACTCATGGGAGCCTCCCATACTATCTTGTCGGCTCTTGCGAATGCACGCTAGATCGACGCTACATCAACGTTAAACCGACGCTAAATCGACTCTACATCGACGCTAATCGGCGCCGCCAAACCGACGCTGAATCGGCGATATCTCATCGACTCCCAGACGCTAATCGACGCTAAGTATAGAACTGCGAGCGTACACAAGGCCCCCATGATGTGCTACCGAGCGCCTCCGTCATCGCCGTCTACGCTCAGGTCGGGTGTGCCCTCCTACAGGTGGATTCTGGACGACTAGTTCAAAGCACATGGTCGACAGATAACCAACGAATATTAAAACATACCCCCCCCCAGACTGAAGGGGCCCTGGGACACACAAATAACTACACACAAATAAAAAGATTCCCCGTACGTTTCCATATTTTCTGGGTTTCTGTCTTCCCCCCCACTTCCCATAGTTTCCCATACTTTCTGGAAACCGACAATTCATTGTGTCTGTGTGTTTTTTCCCCTCCTGACAGACTGTGCTTTGACCATCTCTGAAGATCGGGTCGGGCGAAAGGGGGGGATAGCAAAGGGGGGGTTTGAGAATCAGCTCACGTAGCTGATTTTCCCGGCGCCTCCCGGCGCCGGAGGCGGCCATGTATCGAGGAACGGGCCCCTCGGTGAGGCCGAAACCAGCTGCATGCGGCAAATTTCGTACCCCCCCCTTTCCCACTCCCCCCCTTTCGCCCGACCCGAGAAGACCCCTCCCGCAGCGGCACAGGCCCGACGGAAGTCCGCGCGCGCAGGGGCCGGGGCTCTCGCGCGGCCCAGGGTGGCCGGGGCGGGCCGCCCCCCCCGGGGCACCGCGGGGCGCGGCCCCGAGAGGAGCTCCCTCGTGCGCAAGCGAAGGATTGCAAACAAAAACCCAAGGATTGCAACAAAAACAAAACAGGATTGCAAAAAAAACACAGGATTGCAAAAAAAAAAAAAAAAAAAAAAAAAAAGGATTGCAAAACAAAACCCGAAGGATTGCAAAACAAAACCAACGATTGCAAAAAAACCCAAGGATTGCAAAAAAAAACCGCCGCCTGGAGGACGACGAGACGGGGCGGCTGGGTGGGCCCCTCTTCTGCTGCAGCCTCGGGGAGACTCCGTCTGTCCCGACGCGTCGAAATCCTCGTCGAAGCCGTGCCGAATATCCAGGTCGGGCTCGTCGAGTCCGTGCCGAATCCGTGTCGAATCCGTGCCGAATCCAGGTCGGGCTCGTCGGGTCGGTGCCGAATCCGTGTCGAGTCGGCGTCGGCTCCGCGCCAAAGCCGCGTCGAGTCCGCATCGGGCCCGCGTCGGAAACAGGAAAAGACACCCACTTGGGGGACAGGCCAGGGCCCCCGAAGATGCAACGCAACCCGCCACCCCCCCGCGGAGGCGGAGGGAGAGCTCCGCCAATACGAGGCCAAGACGAAGATAAATTCGGGCGAGGATCGAATCGAGAACCGCTGAGATCCGGCGGCTCTGGAGGATGTCTCGGGCGCGGCGGCCTTCTCAGAGCGCTCCCGGACGCTCTGAGAGTGCTTTGGAACGCGCGGGAACGGATTCATCCTCGTCCTAACCCCGCCCGAGGACCCCCCCCCCCACGGAGGATGAGGGAGGACTCCGACCCTCCCTGCAGGGATAGAGGCCTCCCAGATGGGGTCCAGGTAGATGCGGTCGGAGGATCGCGCCGCATCGCCGACGCATCGGCGATGCATCGGCGACGCATCGGCGATGCACCCGCGATGCATCGTCGACGTGGGCGATGCATCGGCAACGTCGACGTGAAGCAAATCGGGCTCCACATCGAGCTGCATCGGCGATGCATCGGCGATGCGGCGTGATCCTCCGACCCCATCTCCTCCGACCCCATCTGGGAGGCCTAGAAAGGAGGGTGGAGGACTCCACCCCTGCCTTCCAAAAAAAGAAAGGAAAAGACCAGGCCGCGCCTCACTATCCCCTCCAGCCCGGTGACCCGCTGCGGTGTCGGCATGTACGGACAATTGTCCTCCGCGACGGGGGTAGGGGGCGGGTGGGGGGGGGAGAGAGGCCGACCGGAAGGGATCGCTCGGAGGCGAGGGGACCGGGATGGGGCCAGGCGTGGGGGGGGAGCATGCCCAATCAGGCAAGGCTGGAGGAAGGAAGGGGTACGGGGAATTGTTTGGGGACGTGCTAGGCGCGCGCCATATCTGACATCGTTTCCTCCCACTCGTCCCTTCCCAGCGCACGCGCATTCGAACATGCGTGTGCACATCTATATATATATATATATATATATATATATAAACATGCATACATTCATACATGCATACATACAGGCATACATTTATGAAGGCCATGGCCAACCACAGGAGCCCCGCCCAGAAATCATTAAAGTAGGGCTAAAGTAACTTTAAAGTTACTCTGTGGGCTTCTCATAAGGAGGCTTCAAAGTAAGCTTGGAAGTTACTAGCACGCCCCACGGAAAATAAACATACCCGCGAGGGGAAACAACATGCAATCCATATCTGATTTCGGAGCAGCGCGGAGGCATGACCCACCGCCAACAGCCGAGCCACGCTGACGAAATCGGCTCGTTCCGAGAAAGCCTCCACACTATTATATTTATCACGCTTGTCAGGCTGATGCATCCTAGAATTTATGATGGAACGCCGCGTGCGCATAGACAAATCGAAAACCCTCCTCCTCGATCCTGTCCTCTCTTCTCCGATTCCCGTTTCCCGCCCCAGTGCTACCGCCCCTCCCTCCTCCTCGGCCCTCTCCCCCACTCCTACTTCTCGCCCTCCTCCACCTCCTCCTTCTCCCAGTCGACGTCCTCATCGCCCTCCTCCTTGCCCCCCTCCCCGCCCACACTCCTCCGCATGGCCCCCCTGCCGCCGCCGTCACCCCCCCGCGGCGATCAACTGGAGGCGGGCCCCCCAGGCGCCCCCGCCGTTCCTGGCACTCGAACTCCAACGGGGGCGGGCGCGGGGCGACGACGGCGACGACGAGACGACGACGACGACGACGACGACGACGACGGCGGCGGCGGCGGCGGCGGCGACGGCGGCGAAGGGTGGCGGCCGCGGCGGAGGGAGGAACGAACGGCGGGACTAAATCGAGCAGAGGGGGGTAAAGTCGGAGATACGGGGAGAGAGGGGGGAGAGAAAGGAGGGGAGGAACAGCGAGGGAAGCGGCGCGGGGGCGGGGCATGATAGGGCGAAGGCGAAGATGCCCAGGACAAGAAGTTAGGAGGAGGAGGACGCGGCTGAGGAAATTGTTATAAGTTTTTCTTCTTTCAACCCATTGTGGTAAATCACAATAATAATTATAATAGCACAAGTGCAATCAAGCTCATAACCTGTATACTTTACACTGCAAGCTCGCGCTAATGGTGCAAGTTCGGCCCACCTCGATCTGGATATAGTTTTCTGATGCCCTCTGGAGGCGTCGCTGGAGGGGGTGGGGCCCGCCTACGCCGAACCGAACTTGCACCGCGCACCGAACGGTGAGAGGAAACCCAGACTAGAGCGCCTTGAGCTGCAGCGCCGCCTGCACCGCCTTGTACACAAGGGGGTGGAAACACTGGCGTTCGTTCGCCTTCGACTTGGTACGAAACGACTTCACCTCTGCCTGAACGTTTGCACGCAGGGTCGGAAGATCGATATCCTGAGTAAACCAATGCATCAACACACCCTGCGCTTGTGAAACCTGCCCTGCCCTCACTGCCTTCTCATAGTTGGCGCGGAGATCCTTGCGAACGGGTTTCCCATCTGTGAGGTGGTAGGCGCGGTCGGCAGCAGCCATATCCTATGCGACGACCGTGGGCGTGAAACAAGGGAGGGGCGCGTGCCCGCCCTAGCTATCCCTCCATCTCTCCCCACTCCCCCTCACCCCCTCCACATGCCATCCGCTGCCTCACTCTCGCACTCGTCCTCGCCACCACCGCCCCCTCCACGGCATGTACCCTCCCCGCCCCCCACCCCCCCCCCCCCCCCCCGCCCATTCGGGGGGAGGAGGGGGAGGCGGGGTGCACTGAGAAGATTATAATCGCAAAGCGTCCTGGAGAAGAGTATCCAAGGCATTGGTGAGCGCAAAGGGTTCAACCTTCAGGATGGTGCCCTTCGCGTGCTCCTTGAACGCCCCCCCAGTCGTTTCCGCCGCCGAACTTCTCGATCCACGATGTATCGGTATCCGCTGCGCCTGGCGCGTTGCACTTGCTCAGGGCGTTCAGCATGTCGATCTTGGAGTCGACGCAGTCCCATGCTGCCTCGACCGCCCGATCGCCAGCCTCGACGATGAGCGCGCCGAAGAACGTTATGAAGTGAGCGATGGGCTCCGTCACGTAGGCTGGCAGGGACTCTGCAGTGCGAAGGGCTTCCTCAGTCTTCATCTTCTGCTGGCGCGCCAACTCGAGCAAAGAAACGCAGTCGGCCCTGGTCATGGCCCCGTCGGCAGAGACGCCCCCGTCAGTCTTCAGGCAGGCGAATGCTTGCGCAAGGCGGTGAGACTCGTTGAGGACATCGTCGCATGAGAACGTATTGCCGCACACTCTGTTCAGCATCGCAGCGAGGCCGATAAACATTTCAGCGTCGGTCAAATCAGGAATGCTAGCGATGTCACCGCCCCTGGGCATCAAGTCGGCGAGCCTCGCGCACAAGTAGTTGTAGGTCTCGCGGGCGTGCTCCATCGACTCCTCACTCCATGAATCTGGACTCACGGGGTCGGTGTCGAAGGCAGCCTTCATGGACTCGGAGCGCCTGATGGTGATGGCATGGGGAGAGCTATTGGCATCCTCTTTGGCAACGTCCTCGTTGTAGGCCTTGCACGTCGCGACGATGGCCCCGACCTTGTCGGCGGATGTCGTCTTCGCCAAGAGTACGCCAACCGACTCTATGAGTTCACTCATACGGTTGCTGCACGGCCAGACCTCCTCGGCCCCCGAGAGCGTCTTGGACCATGCCTGCATGGTCGCAATGGTCCTGTCCTGGATGACCCACTTGTGCTGGGTCTCGATGGCCTGCAAGAGCTTTGTGATGAGCCCATCGAGAGACCCTGGCCTGACCGCGCCCTGCATCTCCAGGATGGCCTTGCAGTGCCGCTGAATGAGCTCCGTGGACTCCGCCTCCGCTGTGAACACCTGCAGGGCGCACCCGATGGAAGTGACCTGATCGGAGTATTTGGTCATGCCAGGGAGGTGCACAATGAACTCGTTGAGTTTGTCCTTGTACTTCTGGTTCCCATCTACGGCGGCCGCGATGAGCGTCAACGGGGTCTTGGTGGTCTTGCCAATGCTGGCCTTGAGCTTCTGGACGGGCTCCTGGGCTGGCTAAGGGCTAAAAGAGGGGGGGGGGGGAACTCGGGCGTGCGTTCTGTCGAGGTGCCACCACTTGAGCGCATGCGCACTCAACCCTGCCCTTTTCGGTGGCACCTTCGCCACCTGGGCGCGAGTTCCTCGGCGAAGCAACAGCGCGGCCGCCCTATCCCCACTATAGAGCCCCTCGAGGGCCCAACGAAACAGTTGACGCACGACGCATGTAAACCTTCAGACACGCCCAGTGAAACCCCAGAAACATACGTTGTGCTCTATTACTCTTCGAACCATCCCAGTCAATACGCGGGGGATGGGCGCGGAGCTCGGGGCGCCCCCCGCCCCCCTCTCCGGCCTCCGGACTTACATTTACACCGCGCAAGAGAAACCTTGGACAAGAATGCTGCGTGAGAGCGCGCAGCGTGGTTCCACGCCACTGACGCGCGCTGCGCGCGGGCGACAACTGCGTCGCATTCTAGAAACCGAACGCGGCGCGGGGCGGGGCGGCGCGGCGCGGCGCGCGGGCGCGGCGTGCCACGAGCAGCACGACGCGGTAACTCGTCGCGGCGCAACGCGGCACGTCACGCGGGCTGAGAACGGCGCGAACTGCGCGGCGCGGGCCACGGCGTGGCACGGCGCGGCGCGGCACGCGAGCAGGGCGCGCAGCGCGCGGCAAGGCACTGCAGTTGTTTGGCATTCTAGGAAGAACGAGCGCGGCACGGCGCGGCAAGGCAGGGCACGCGGGCGCGGCGCAGCGCGCGCGGCACGGCGTGGGAATTCGGCATGGCGCGAAACGACGCAGCACGCGGGCACAACGCCGCGCGCACGGCACGACACGGGAACTGGGCACGGCAATTCGAGGCACGCGGGCACGGCGCGGCGCGCGCGGCACGGCGCGGGAGCCTGCAATTCAACAGTTTCACAGTCTATGAGACGAACACGGTGCGGCGCTGCATGGCAGCGCACGGCGCGAGGGCACGGCGCGGCGCGCGTGGCGCGGCGCGGGAAATCCTCGCCGCACGGCGCGCAGGCACGGCGCGGCACGCACGGCACGGGACATAGCAAGGCACAGCGCGGCACGGCACAGCGCGCGGGCACGGCGCGGCGCGCGCGGCACGGCACAGGAAACGGGCACGGTACGGCGCGGCACACGGGCGCGGCAGGGCACGCGCGGCACGCCGCGACACGCGGACGGCAACATGTTCACCTTCTAGAGGTTACATGCAGGATCTTGCCATATAACTAAGCAAGTAACGCACTTGCTGCCGAGGGCATAAGGAAGTACACGGAATGCCCCAGGTTAAGTCCAGACATAAACAACTCGTCGCGGCCTGGCCCGCGCACCCACTTCCAGTATGCAAGTGCACGGAATGCGGTGCCCGCTTAAGCTCCAGCGGACACCCGCGCGGACGTCGACGAATACCCGCGCGGCCACCATTGGGTAAACGGATGGACCCCATCCAGGTACCCGCACGAAGCCACATGGGAGTGTTAATAATTCAAGGAGGCTTGCCCCCAAGACTGCTGGGTCACTCGGAAACCTGGCGGGCTGACCTTGCCCCACTCCCCCTTCCCACCCCCTCTGCGCACATTCGCTGCCTGAAATGTTTTGACGGGCGCCGCGCGTGGTTCGATTAACCATATGATGCATTAAGCTTCTCGCGTTGTCGCACGCGCCGTCCTGCGTGACCTTCGGAGCCCGTGCTTTGTATCCCCGCGCATGCCTATGCGTTCCCATGCATGCACGTGGGCATGCGTTTGCGATGCCGTCATGCATGCATGTGAACCTCCGAATACCCGCCAAACGCGACGCGATACTTCGAACTCCCGCATGCCAGGAGGGCCCGCATTCACCCTTTCGTACTCCTACGTGCGTGTAAGCAGTTGCATGCCCCATGCGGTTTCCATGCAGCGTCGTGGTTGAGCCCCCCCCCCCCCCCCTCAACCCTACGCATACATGCGCGGGCCGATGTTCGCCCAGCAGGTCGGCGCGTTCCCACGCGCCATCGGCCAATGGAACACGGGCGCAAATGGCGACCTAGGGGGCCCCATGGAAAACCATGGGGCCCAGTGGGGCCCAATGGGATCCGACGGAAACCAATGGGGCCCAAAGGCGCCCATCTGGACCTATGGTGGCCAACGGGCCCCATTGGCTGCCAGAGGGCACCAGCGCGAGGCAACGCGCGCCAGCGGAGCCCGACAGAGCCCACGGCAGCCCAACGATTCCTGCGGGTGCAAACGGAAACGCACGAGGTCGACTGGGATGTGGTTGGCACCATAGCGGGGCACGACGGGCCACCTGGAGGCACATGTTCCCAATGGGGCCCCGCGGAGCCGCGTGAGCCACAATGGGGCCCGACGGAATCTTAGGAGCGAGTCGCGGGCAGGTTCCCCGTGGCCGCAGCCTCGGACAACGCGACGCGCGGGCGACGCCGCGCGACATCAACGTCGCGGGCGCATGGGGAGCAGGCGAGGCCCACTGAAGCCCCACTGCCAAATGAAGCAATTCCAATCTCTTCGGCCATCGGTTGTTCTACTCAGCGCTGGTCGACGTTCTCCATGCGGGGATTGCCCAGATTGGCACCTGACCACCGCGAGGGCGCGCCCCGCAATCGCGCTTCCAGCCGCGGCTGGCTCCGCGGGGCCCCGTGCGCCATCGACACCCAGTGGGAAGCATGGGAGAACAATAGCTGCCATGGCAATCCAATGGACCGCGTTGGTTTTCATGCGGGCTGGGCGCTTACTCAGTTAAACTTCACGGGCGCCCAGCAGACCACACTTAGCCACCATTGGGCACCGTTTGGCCCCGTCGGGCTTCATTGGGCGCAGATGCATCCCACTGGGCACGAATAACTCCCAGGGGGGCCATTGGGCCGCGATGGAAATCATCGGGCAACTGCCCAGCCGCCGCAATGCGCACCGCGCCGCGTTCCACCGACCATCCCCGCCATCATCGACATAACCGCACCCGCTGTCATGAACGCAGCAATTGCCCGACTGAAATCATCGGCATCACCGCAGCCACCAGCACCGCGAAAGTGGCGTCGACGATGACGATGGCGAGGGAGCGGGGGTTGGCGCTTCGTTGCGAATGCGTCGATGCTCGAAGCAGCGGCGCGTTAGCGACGACGCTGGCCGCGCCGAGCCCCACCCCCCACCCCCGCCCCCACCATCCGCCTCGAGGCCACCATCGCGACGGCGATTGCGATGATGATGGCGGCGGCGATGATCGCGGCATGAGAACTGACGACGCGATGGCGATGGCCATGGCGGCGGCGGCGATGACGCGTCAGAGTTCGGCGCGACGCGCCTGCTCTACATCGCGTAGCAAGTCGAAGCAGCGGCGCGTTGCCGATGAAACGTGCCGCGTCGAGCCCGCCCCCGTCACCGCCATCGTCATGGTGGCGGTGGCGGCGATGATGGCGGCGCGCGCGGCAGCGACGCCCATGGCGAAACCGCTGTGCAGATGACAACGGCGATGGTGGCGCCGACAAAGGGG